CAGGAGGCTGGCGAGCCGGCAGATGAACAGGACTATGCCGAGGCCTTTTTGCGGAGCCAGGTAGCCCCGTGGGTGCTTGACATGAAGCTCTTGCCCACGCTGCCCGCTGTGGAACAGCACATTCTTTCGGCACAGGTTTCCAAGGCTGTTGGCCCAGACGGCATTTCTGCTGAACTCCTACGCCTTGATGTTCCCATCACTGCGCGACAGCTTTTCCCAGTATTCCTCAAATCCTGTCTCAGGGCACAAGAGCCGGTGGTTTTCCGTGGAGGCGACCTTTGTTGTCTTGCCAAAAAAGCAGGGCAGGTCATGACTTGTGAGGCTTACCGCTCCATCCTTGTCTCCTCCGTGCCAGGGAAGATATACCACCGTTGCCTTCGGGAAGCTGTTAAGCCCTTGCTGCTTAACAGCCAGCCTTCATTCCAGGCAGGTGTGGCCCCGGGCCAAGGTATTGAAGGCGTTGCGCTTGCCGTCCGCACTTTTTATGCTCTCTGCCGTCGTAAGCGCACACTGTCATCCTTGGTCTTCTTTGACCTCCAGGCCGCGTTCTACCAGGTGCTGAGGCAGTCTATAGTGCCAGCCGCCGATGGGGACACTGAGTTACTCAAGTTGTTGCATTTACTTCGTGTTCCCCCTGAGGCTGTCTGTGAGCTTCGGGATCAGCTTCTCCGCACCTGTCAGTTGCCGGCTTTGGGAGCCTCCTCCCACGTTGTCGCTGCTGTTCAAGATCTGTTTAGAGGCACCTGGTTTCGGCTCGCTGGCTTTCCGGATCTGACTGTCACCCGGCGCGGTTCACGCCCGGGCGATCCCACGGCAGACCTTCTGTTTGGGTTTACGCTCTCAGCGCTTGCCCGCTCAGTGCATTGCTGTCTGGCTGCTCAGGACTTGCTCCCCGACGTGCCATCATTGCCGGAGCGACCTGCTTGCTTGGACAATGACTGTCCTGTTGAGCTCGGTTTTCCCTCTTGGGCGGACGACTTTGTGGCGCCGCAAACCGGTGTGGGCCCACATGATCTTTTGAGTCGTACCGGAGCAGTGTTGCAGCTCGTGGTCGATTTTGCGACCGCGGCAGGAATGACCATCAAGTGCGGCCGCGACAAGACTGCGGCCCTCCTCCCTCCAGAGGCCATCACTGTTGCAGAGGCCATCTGTGAACGAGATGCCGATGGCCATCTCCTGCTTTGCTTTACGAACGGGATTTCCGGAGACCCGTGCACTGTGCCCATAGTCGAATCCTACAAGCATTTGGGTGGGATTGTTGTTTCGACGGGCAGCCCAATTCCGGACCTGCATTTTCGATTTTCGCAGGCTGCCGGCACCCTCAAGCCGCTGCGGCGGAAACTTTTCGGTGCACGCGAGTTCCCTCTTCAGACACGGGCCTTTCTTCTGCGTTCTCTGGTGGTTTCCAAATTCTCCCATTCCGTCGCAGCCCTCCTCCTACAGGCTGCATGTCAGGTACGTGTGTGGGAGCAGCATTATGTCGCTCTTTGGAGGGCACTCTTCCATAGGCGGGCTTCGGACAAATCGGTGCACAGCTTCCGAGTCCTTCATGAAGCTCATGCCCTTTCACCCACCCTTGCATTGGCCAAGGCCAGAGCGGGGTTCTTGCGTCGAGTCTTCCTCCACGGGCCCCGCGACCTTTTGTCACTGCTTTGGGATCACTGGAAGCAGCACCCCTCGTCGTCCTGGTTTAAGCAGCTAAAGGACGACATTTCCCATGTATCCTTGTACGTGCCCACCGTCCAGAACCTGCTTGATACCGGCGACCCTGTCTTGGCTCTGCTTGACGCATATGCCAGCGATCAGACTTGGTGGGGTAAGCAGGTGCGTGCTGCAGAGCGTGCCTTCTTTGTAGACCTTGGCATCTGGTACAATGAACGCCGCCTCGGCGCCACCGCTGTCACTACTTCTTCCGTGTCAGCACTGCCCCGTTGCTTCGCATGCTACCTTTGCCAGGCG